GGCCTTTTAAGTTTAAGGACCAACTTATTTTTCCCCGAAGAATTGCCATTATTTGCATAGGCTTTATCCTCTACTAGGTCTAACCTTAATGCTTTTTCTATAGAGAGGGGTTTCTTAAATCTCAATTCTCTAGTTTAAAGTTCGCCTCTTTCTTCCTGGTACACAAATATTTCCTCGATTATGATCCCTAAGGCTTTCCTATTTTGTGAAAACTTTGGTTCTTTGAAAAGTAGATTATCTAAGAAATTCCTAAAACTTGCAAAGTTTGAGCCGCCTAGCTCTGCTAACTTAACCATGTTGCCAGAGTTTCTGTAGAATGTATCTTCTTGCTGACAATGGAAGACCAACAAGAAAATCAGCTTAAAATTCTGGCCAACTATGGGACCCTCCTTCTGATATCGGAGCCTCTCTTGTAGGTTTAAGTGGAAACTACTACAGTCTATAGGAAGGAGTGTTCAAATTCGGTTGATAAATCGAAAACCAAATCGAACCAAACAGAATAAGCTAATTTGGTTCAGTTAATTCGACTATCAGTTCGGTTTGATTTTTATTTAAAAATAATAATTGGTTTTTGGTTTTAATTCAATTTGACTGAAATTTTCAATCGAACCGAAAACCGAATTAATGATGTTATTTAGTTAAGAATATTAAACATTAATGTTTTATTTAATACTTTGTGCTAATTAATTATTATATTTTCCAATGAACAATTAATAATAGTTAATTAAAACCTACACTCATTATTAATTAGTTAACATTGGCATTAATTGTTCATTAATCATTAATTATTTTTGAAAATAGTCGATTCGCCAATTCCCCATTGGCATAGGGCTTTAGGCCTATTTTAGCTTTTAATTAATAATAGCTAATTAGTTAACATCAATGGACTTTAGGGTCATTTTGACTTTTAATTAATAATAGTTAATAGTTAATTAATTAAACCCATTGGATTTTGAGGCCATTTTAACTTTTCATTAATAGCAATAATTAAATGCTTGTCATTTATGTGGAATCAGGGTCCAACTGCACCAAATCGAACCGAATTCAATTAGGGTCAGTTCAGTTCTAAAATATAATTCGGTTCAGTTTGGTTAGAGGAAATGGTAAAATCGAATAGTCGGTTAAGTCCTTGATTTGAACCAAACCGATCAATTGTACACCCCTAACTACAGGACAAGAGGGGATATTGACTTACTCTAGCTTGATTGTGCTTTCCTTGCTTCTTCTACAGGAGTTCCTTCACTAGATCCTTCCGACTCCCCTCTTTCCTCAACTAAATTCTTTTTATCCTTTCCTACTGAGTTGCTCCCCTGGACTTAGTATGAGGAGGAATCAGTAATGTACACCCTTCTTCCCTTTGTTTATAAACTAATGAATGGCCCCATACTAAGTATGAGGAATCAGTAATGTTAAATTTATATTTATTAATATTTTAAATAATTATTAAAATTTCAAGAAATATTTATTTCAAAAAATAGCTTTTCAATAATTATTAGAATATAGATAGTTTTCTTTTGTTATGATATGTAGAGGGCTAATGATTAACTAAGATTGATAGAATGTAATCAAAAGTGGTTGTGGATAACCACTTTTGCATTTTCTGTGTTTTTTTAGGAATGAATTGAAAATGGTGGTAGTGGATTGTAGGATTTAACAGCAACTTCTCAGAAAATGACACTTATCTAGCTTTCTAGAAAAATGAGAAGGCCACATGTCTGAATGGTAGCGGGTTGTAGGCTTTAGCAAGAATTTTTTAGAAATTGCCACTTGTCTAGCTTTCTAGAAAATGAGAAGGCCACTTCTCTGAATTGTGGTAGTGGGGGGCTTTAACAGCAACTTCTCAAAAAAATAAAAAAAAAACAAATGCTATGTGTCTAAATTTGAAAAAGACACATGTCTAAATGGTGGTTAGTTATCATTTTTCAATTTTTAACTTTTTTCCTAAAAAATATACAAAAATTACTACCATAATAATTAACATTTACAGTAATTACATTAATTTATAAAAAAATGTGAAAATTTGAAAAGTAAAACTTATTGTAGGTAATTATTTTTACTAAATACTGAAAATAATTACTAACGTAATATTTTAAATTAAGTAACTATTAAATTAAGTATAAATATTTTCAGTCATATTATAAATTCAGACTTATTGTAACAAATATTCAGTATTATAATATTTAATTATTCAATAATTAATAAGTATAAAAAGTAAATTTTCAATAATCATTACTTATTTTAAATGTTTATAAATATTGAAATTTTGGTTATTGTAATTAATAAGTGATGATTATTTATTAAGTAGTGTAATTAATAGTTATTTAGTTATTAATTAATAATTAATTATTAGTTAACTTAGTTAAATACGTTAATTAATTGTTAGTGTAATTAATAAATACTAATTAACGTAATTAATTAATTAATTAACAATTAATAAAACTGGTGTAGATCGATTTTAAATATCATTCATTAATAATTAATGATCAATTATTAATTAAAGTAATTAATATTAAATTACTATTAATTAACATTTTATGTAGAGTCATCTACATCAGTTCAAGAAGTCTAAACTAGGCTGGTTTAATATCGAAATTGGCTTGAAAATGTGCCAATTTAACAATCGATCGGAACCGGTGTAGACCAGTTTTATTAATAATAATGGGTTGGAACTATGTCAGAATGCACATAATCCAACCCGAATAGTTCATCTTCTTAACCCGGATAGATGAACAGTGGTATTCGATACAGTCGACATTAACCGACCGTGAGTGAGTTCTACGGCCGGTCTTTCTGTCCCATTCAGGCCGAAAACATGTCGGAAAAGCCTTCGGCGACTGTAGATAGTGAATGAATGTAAAAGTTGTAAAAAACGGTGAGAAAATGGGAAAAAAAAAAAAACCGGCGCCATATGAACCTAAACACAGTGCAGGAAAACCAAACTTGGGGTGAGTTTTTGTATTCATTTCACTCCCAAAATACGTGGGAGAACGTCTACAGTAGAACTGGGAGTCTGAGAACGAAAATATTCTATTTTTGAAATGATATTTATGGATTTCTGAAAACATGAAGTTGCAAATCGATAAATCCATCTTCAAGAACGTCTTGAACTTTTGAGATTTTTAAGCTAAAAATCAATGAATCCAACTTAAATAAAGCCTTCATCAACACAAAAAAAAGGACAATTTTTAAGGATTCTCGTTTGTTTCTAGTAGGAGATAAATCATATATTCTGCGCAACTTCTCAAAAGTCTAATTGAATCTTCTCTAACCCTCCCAAATATTTGAATATTCCTATGAAGATAACAAAAACCACGACATAAGCTTGCTTAGCTTAAATCCTATTTCTTTTTTAGCCATCTTGCAAAAAGATAAAATAAAATAAAGGCAAAAAGATAAAATGAAAGAAAATTGATTTTTACACATATGAACAGCCGCCGAAGATTACCATGGACCGAAAAAAAATTAACACTTTGGGTTCTATGCAGTTTATCAGCAGTGGTCTAAACAATATGAAAGTTTAAATAACAAATAACTACAAAACTGAAATAAAAGTGTAACTATTGATCAGAAATAAAACAGAGCAAGCGGTTGAATAGGAATTGCAAACTTCTCTGGAATAAACTGACCCGATTCTCAGACTTTCAGAGATGTACAGTTTGGTCGTTAGCAAGTTCTATGAAGTTCCAAACGAATCTGATTTGCAGATTTCTCTGACTTAAAGATTTGCACCGTTCACTCGTTAGAGACTTCTCTGAAGTTCCAAAATAATCTGAACCCGAAGAAGCATTCAAACATCTGTTCTATGACATTTACATAGGAATAAACATACATTCTTGGGACATTTACATAGGAATAAACATACATTCTTGGGAGACCAAGAACTAACAGAACGAAGAGTTCCCAAAGTTCTCTGAATTGCAAAGTTGTGACTTTCAGATTTCAAAAGTTGCAGTCAATGGAATGAATTGCAATATCTCCAATGAGAGTGTGAACTTCCCACTTCTCACGTTGCATGGTGGTGAGTTTGAATTTGCAACTTTCCTTTACAAACGAACAAGCAACCTTTTCATGTCCACAAAGAAGCAGAGAATAGGGAGCTTTTCGTACTTAACCGGCAACCATTCCACTGTACCATCTCTTCTTTCCCTTTTCACCGCTTTCACTAGGGGAGAGTTTATATCTATACGAACCTTTACCCTTAAGTATCCTCAACTATAAGTCCCACTCAGGAGTACTCTGATCTTTGATATCATCTTCTTCCAACGGAACCAGCTGTCCGATTTGTCTGGCTAAGCGTTCTGCATGGGCTCTGGACATGCACTCTATTAGGAGGTCTAGTATCCTTACAGTGATATTCACTTATTCAGCAAGTCAAAGCTCATAGAACTGTATTTAAGATCTGGTTCCCACTTCCTGAAGAGGATTGGGTAGTCCTTGAACAACCATGGCTGGTTCTTGAGGACCCTCTTTCGATCCTTCTCCCTCTTGAAGATTATGAAAAAAAAACGTAGCTATGGATTTTCTTCTTCCACATATTCTTCACTCGTTCAATTACACCATACGCATTTTTAAAGGCTTATCAAAGATTACTTGGCTATAGAGGCAAAGTTTGCATTTCTCATCCAAGCTTAATAACTCTATTTCGTCTTCCTTTCCAAGGAGAACGAAGGAAAACTCACTCAAAAGGATGAAGATTCAACCTTGCTCTAAGCCGCTCACACAGAACAGAAAGGCTCACTCAGAGCAATATGGCTTGTGTTGTTCTAAAGAGAACCTTTAAACACATAAAATCCAACTTCCCATTAGTCCATAACCAATGCAAACAAAGGGAGTTTCTGCCTCTCTAAGTTGGAAAGAAATGTAAGCACGTGAGTTGACGATGGACTGGACTTTGAGAGATGGGATAAATATTAATTACTAGTTGTGGATATATAATTACGTACCCGACTTGAACCACTCCGGATGTCCTACCCACTTCTTTGCTAATTAGAGATTGAAGATGAATTACGTAGAGTCCATCATCCTGAAATTAAGTCGAATTCAGTATCCTGCATTAAAAGTACCCTCATCTACTGTAAATACAACATTGCTAATTAAAAACAAAAATAAAAAAGCACACAATGTCTTCTCTGAGACGTTGATTTAATTCAATATTGGTTCTATTGAAATTATGAAGCATTTTACAGTTTACACATCCCAGCCAAACTGTAAGCCACGTTTCCAAGTCTGCACTAATCAAATTGCTGCCGGAGCTGCATCTCTGTTTCACTCTTCCAAGTAGAGTGAGTTGACTGGCCTTTAAATCTCTTATTCTTCTCCTTTTCCTTGATAGCGGATCCCTTTTTCTTTTCGGTTTCTTTACTTTTGTCCACAGGAGGGCGATCACCACATACTGGACAGACCATGCCTCGTGTGTTCGAGTAAGTTTTCGGTATTCCACATTGCAAGCACATCCTGGAACATAGAGAAGCAACAGATGGTTTTAGCAAATATGAAAAAAGGATAGATCACGATATCCTACTCATCAATTCATGAACTCAAATGAGTGAAATAACATGCCAAAAAGAAAAGTAAATCATAATCTCTCTTTTTTTTCTTTTTGATCAGTAAGGGTGGATGGCCAGTATCCCACACATCTAGAAAAAACAGAATTCATATGAGTTGAATGAATCCCAATCTGAGCATTCCCCTAAAACTCTAAAAAAGAATGGAATGAGAAGACATTTAATCATTGATCAAAAAGAATGAGAATACATTTAATCACCTATTCATCAGCTATAAACATTTCAAACAAGATAGGTACCTGAGTAGCTCTGAAGCATCTTTAGCATCAGGAACGGTTGCAGAAGGCACACGCTTTCCCTCTCCAGATACTGTATTCATAGAACCTTTCTGTGGTGGAACAGAGGATTTGGGAGGCAAGTTTCCATCAGTATCACTTCTTACTCGATCATGAATGCCAACTAGTTGAGCCTTTGCCTCCATTACAACTCCTAAAAGCGAAATAACATTGCATCTTTGGGTTATTTCTTAATGAAATACTAAATGAGAAAAATGTTGGTAACTTAAATCAAATGCAAATATCTTTCTCATTGAAAATATAGTATGGATCTTTGAACTCCAATAACAGACGGCTCTTCAAAACATAGAATTGGAAAATTAAACTTTACAAGCTATTATTAATTCGAATCATCCACCATCTACCTTTTTTCCTTTTGTCCTTTACCCACGAGGATAAGATAACACACGAGGATAAGATCTAGAATTTTGTCAAATTCTACATTATCATCACATTCCATAATTGATAAATTTCCAAGTCAAGAGCAGGTTGGCACTATCTGCCCATGTAGTCTAGGTCAGACGTTACACAAGTTGAGGAGCATCATAAATTTGGTCCTAGCCATGTTCTTGGCCTGACATTCTCCCTATCACACAGCATGAAAACCAAAGCAACAAATGTTCTTTTTCTCCTAGAAGTTCTGGTTTAGGGAAATTGTCCAGAGTTTTCAATTTGTTTTAACTTTCTTTACATTTCTTTTGCTTCTCTTTTCTTGTCTGTCTGGATGGAAGGGTTGGATTTCAAGTGGAACTGTGGGAGTATAGTTAGGGAAATAATTTGGGAGCAATGGAATATGTGCAAATTTTTAGCTAAGTAAACAACGTTGAGATGGCATTCTTCATTAGGAAGATGAGAAACAACTGCCAAGCCAAAGGACAGAGAGCCCCATGCTGACTCAAGTGAGCAAAGTGCAAGAGTCCATGGAAGGGATTTCTGAGGCCTAAAATTAACTAGAGCAATCTCTACGTTGACAATACAGCTCAAGAGAAGAGAGCACATGTGTCAGACATAAAATAATTTGGAAAATTTCTTTCTTATTAGTTTCATAGTAATAAATAGTGATCTTTAACTAATAATTACCATAATCCTCGTGAAATAAGTATAAACCCAAGATAGAAAATCAACATATTTGTGAGAAGAAAAATAAGAAAGAAAAGAAAACATACAAAATAAATAGTGATCTTTATCAATTCAGGTTTTAAAGTCCTAAAGGGTTTAACACTATGTTACTGACTTGTGTGCCGATTAAACCCAAACAAATAAGAAAATAATAAAAAAAAACTAGTATAAGAATAATAATATTAATACTATAAACCCACAATATGAATAATTTAGTCTAATAATATCTATTGCATTACTATTAATAACAGAAAATAAAAATATAAAAAATATTTTGTGGTGTCTTACATATAAATATGTAGGCGTTTGGGCAAGGCAACCCTCCAATAACACCTTATCACCTAGGGCATCACCTATGCCTAGGTGGGCGCTTAGGCATCGCCTTTACAACTATTAGGTGAAGTTTTGAGGTTGAACACAGAACAACCTTGAGAAACCAGCTAGCTAGTTTGTAACCTTTGGCGTTATACATCCATGCACTCATGTCTTGCTCTTGTCCTTTAATGGTTGAACAATGACTGACTTGTAACACAAGGTGCACTTGGACAAGCTTTAGGAAGTAGTATTGCTACTCTGGAAAGCAAAATGGCAAAAATCTCAGAAATTGTATTCTGTGAAGAAATTTGATAAGTAGCTTGTGAAATAAAAGGAAATAGAACTCTCATTTTTTAAGCATCTATTTTTGATAAGAACACTTCTAATGAGCTTCTACGAGGGAGCTCTTCCTCCTGAAATGGAATAGTAGAGAGAAGAAGAAGAAGAAGAAGAGAGGTTGAAGAAGAAAAGTGATTCAAATATTTTCCATGCACTCATAGGGTTTCTCATGCTATTTATATTGAATCAAAACAGGCTACTGTCAAGCTGCCTCCATGCACATGGGACTCTTGAGTTAGTTATGCTGATGTGGCCTCCTGGTGTAGACGAACTTGATGAACTGAACTACACGGGGTACTCTTCCTGAGCTACTGCCTTCGGTAATCAGATTTGGAGGTTGTTGGGCCTGGGCTTTGGTTGTTGCCTGCATACTGTAGTGCTGGTCCAGGATCCTATCGACCCCACCCGCTTTAGATTCAACCTTGTCCTCAAGGTTGAAATCAGGGAATTGTAACTGCAGTCTTGAGATGTCCTCCCATGTTGCATCTTCAACTGGAAGGTTCTTCCACTTAACCAGAGCCTGTTGGACCTTTTTTTAACCAGATCTCACCCATCTGAAGCCATGCACAGACTGGGGTTCCAGCAAGAGAGACCCTTCGTCTGAGAACTGAGGTAGAGAGCTGCTAACTCTGGCTGAAGGGGATAGGCATGGTTTCAGCAGACTCACATGGAACACTGGGTGCAATTTGAAACCAGCCGGTAGATCCAACCTATAGGCCACCTGTCCCACCCTCTCAGCTAACTTAAGTAGTGTGGTGCAAGTTTCTGTCAAGGTTGAGACACCACAGAAATTTGTCTATATGGCTGAAGCTTAAGGTATACATAGTCTCCAACCTGAAACTCCAATTCTCTGTGTTTTTTATCATAGGAGAGCTTCATGCTCTGTTGGGCTTCCTGCAGGTGTTAACTTCAGGTCCTTGAGCACCTTGTCTCTAGTGGAGAGCTATTCTTCTACTTCAGCTACAGCAGTAGATCCCTTCTCATAGGGTAACACAGCAGGAGGATCGCACCATAAAGGATTTTAAATGGAGTAGTACCTGCTGATACCTGGAAGGAAGTGTTATACCAGAATTCGGCCCATGGGAACCATGTAGTCCACTGTTTAGGCTTGTCACCATGAAACACCGTAAATAGGTTTCCAAACAACGGTTGACCACTTCAGACTGTCCATCAGTTTGCGGATGGTAACTGGTTGTGTGCACCATTCGAACCCTTAGAGCCTAGAAGTAAGCTTCCCAGAAATGACTCATGAACAGTGGGTCCCTATCAGTGAGTATAGAGTTGGGGGTGCCATGTAGTTTGGCTACCTCCTGAACATAGGCCCTGGCCACCGCTGCTGTGTACAGATGTGAGAGAGCTACGAAATGGGCATACTTGCTCAACATGTCCGCCACAACTAGTATAACAGATTTCCCTTGAGACTTAGGTAACCCAGTGATAAAATCCATGGTTATGTCATCCCAAACCTTGTCCGGTATGGGGAGAGGTTGTAACAGGCCTGTAGGAAGTTGAGTACTATATTTTTGTTGTTGGTAGATGGAGCATTGGGCCACATACTGTCGGACCATGGACTTCATTCCTCTCCAATAATAATGATTCGATAGCCTCTTATAGGTACAAAAAACTCCGGAATGACCCCCTAATGTGGAATCATGGAAAATACATAGCAAATCCCCATAGTGAACAAAGGGCAATGCCACCACTAACCTCCCCTTGTAAAATAGAGTAGAATCCATCACGGTATGCCCAGGCACAGAAGCTGGATCCAGTTCCCACTTGGAGCAGATCTATGACAGAATTGGGTCTCGATGGGCCTCTGCCTTTATCTGGTCTAGCAGAGGGTAAGTGGACTGGGAGAGACCCAATGAGTGTAGTTCCGCGGCTAGGGACAGGCTGTCAGCCATCGAGTTAGCTGAACCCGGTTTATACTCTATATGGAAATCATACCCCAGCAGCATAGTTGTCAAGGCGACAAGGCGCCTTTGGAGGCTCACCTCGCCCAGTCGCCTAGCAGTTTTGTATAGTCTTATAAAATACTTTCATATTGTTACTTTTTTGAGATTATAATTATAAAATAGACATTATTAAACAAAAATATTCATTTTTTGTGTTTATAAACTAATTGCTTTTTATTATTTTCTTATTTGTTAGGGTTTAATCAACACAAACTGGTGAGATACCGCTCACCTCGGAAGCCCCTTCGAGGGTGGCTTAACCTCTTGAAACAGAAAGTGGAGAGGAAGAAGAGAGAGGAAGGTAGGAAAAGCGGGATTCAGTGAGAGAGAAACAGGGGATATTCATTCATGCCTTTCATTGTAAGAGTATGGCCTTATATAGCTGGCCTACAGGTGTAATCATAGAGGGAATATCCTCTGATTGGCAGGATAACCAACTCTGGGAAATATCATGGAGGGAATATCTTCTGTCGGCAGAATCACCCTCTGTGTGTGTAACTAATTCTGAGGCTCTGTCGCCTGTCCTTTCTGCCTCCTTTGAGTACTGCTGATGGGTAGTGGCCTGCTCCACTCCCTTTGTTGGGTTCGGGGAAGGTATTTGGGTCCCAACAATTCCTCCCTCCTTAGCATTGACCTTGCCCTCAAGGTCTAGGTTCGGGAACCTCTCATTTAGCCTCAGATAAGATTCCCAGGTGGCATCTTCTGGGAGCAGCCCGGCCCATTCTACCTTGGCTTCTGGTACAACCTGCCCACCTCGTTGAACCCATCGGAAATCCACAATTTTGATGGGCTCTGTGTAAATGTCCCCTTCTTCAGTGAATTGGGGTAAGCTAGATGAGATAGGAGTATGATTTCCCACAGCCTTCTTGAGAAGAGAGATGTGAAACACCGGATGAAGCTTCGAGGTAGCAGGGAGGTCCAATCTGTAAGAAACAGGGCCCACTCTTTCCAGCACCTTGTAGGGCCCATAATACCTG